TGGGTACGGAAAGTATTCAGACCCCTTTAAATTTTTCACTCTTTGTTTCATTGCAGCCATTTTCCAAAAATCAAAAAAGTTCATTTTATTTCTCAGTAATGTACACTCAGCACCCCATCTTGACAGAAAAAAACAGAAATGTAGAAATTTTTGCAAATGTATTAAAAAAGAAAAAGTGAAATATCACATGGTCATAAGTATTCAGACCCTTTGCTTAGTATTTAGTAGAAGCACCCTTTTGATCTAATACAGCCATGAGTCGTTTTGGGACAGATGCAACAAGTTTTTCACATCTGGATTTGGGTATCCTCTGCCATTCCTCCTTGCAGATCCTCTCCAGTTCTGTCAGGTTGGATGGTAAACGTTGGTGGACAGCCATTTTCAGGTCTCTCCAGAGATGCTCAATTGGGTTTAAGTCAGGGCTCTGGCTGGGCCATTCAAGAACAGCCACGGAGTTGTTGTGAAGCCACTCCTTCGTTATTTTAGCGGTGTGCTTAGGGTCATTGTCTTGTTGGAAGGTAAACCTTCGGCCCAGTCTGAGGTCCAGAGCACTCTGGAAAAGGTTTTCGTCCAGGATATCCCTGTACTTGGCCGCATTCATCTTTCCCTCGATTGCAACCAGTCGTCCTGTCCCTGCAGCTGAAAAACACCCCCACAGCATGATGCTGCCACCACCATGCTTCACTGTTGAGACTGTATTGGACAGGTGATGAGCAGTGCCTGGTTTTCTCCACACATACCGCTTAGAATTAAGGCCAAAAAGTTCTATCTTGGTCTCATCAGACCAGAGGATCTTATTTATCACCATCTTGGAGTCCTTCAGGTGTTTTTTAGCAAACTCCATGCGGGCTTTCATGTGTCTTGCACTGAGGAGAGGCTTCCGTCGGGCCACTCTGCCACAAAGCCCCGACTGGTGGATTGCTGCAGTGATGGTTGACTTACTACAACTTTCTCCCATCTCCCGACTGCATCTCTGGAGCTCAGCCACAGTGACCTTTGGGTTCTTCTTTACCTCTCTCACCAAGGCTCTTCTCCCCCGATAGCTCAGTTTGGCCGGACGGCCAGCTCTAGGAAGGGTTCTGGTCGTCCCAAACGTCTTCCATTTGAGGATTATGGAGGCCACTGCGCTCTTAGGAACCTTAAGTACAGCAGAAATTTTTTTGTAACCTTGTCCAGATCTGTGCCTTGCCACAATTCTGTCTCTGAGCTCTTCAGGCAGTTCCTTTGACCTCATGATTCTCATTTGCTCTGACATGCACTGTGAGCTGTAAGGTCTTATATAGACAGGTGTGTGGCTTTCCTAATCAAGTCCAATCAGTATAATCAAACACAGCTGGACTCAAATGAAGGTGTAGAACCATCTCAAGGATGATCAGAAGAAATAGACAGCACCTGAGTTAAATATGAGTGTCACGGCAAAGGGTCTGAATACTTATGACCATGTGATATTTCAGTTTTTCTTTTTTAATAAATTTGCAAAAATTTCTACATTTCTGTTTTTTTCTGTCAAGATGGGGTGCAGAGTGTACATTACTGAGAAATAAAATGAACTTTTTAGATTTTTGGAAAATGGCTGCAATGAAACAAAGAGTGAAAAATTTAAAGGGGTCTGAATACTTTCCGTACCCACTGTACCTCAGTATCCAGAGGGGTCCAACAACTGGCCGACAGAGAAATGGGGAAGCACGGATCCGAGGCCAACGAAGCAAAACAGGGACGCAAACTGGTCCCTCCAAGCCAACGAGGAAATGCCTCCCCCGGACTCCAATGCACAAACTAAACGCCCAGCAGCCATTCAGAGACCCTGCCCAGGGAAAAAGCACAATGCATCAAGATGCATCGACAATCGCCCTACAATCCCACCGCAGCCCTCCAAACCGCAACCGGCTCAACCCGTGCAGAGACCCCCACCCCCATAAGCCAGGGCACCCTGCGACCCCCCAAAGCACAAAGGACCCCAGACCGCATGTCCCGGGGGAAGCTGTACCCGGGAAAAGCCGTGCCGGGAAGCTCCCTGCCGCCGGGGAGCAATAACGCGGGAGAAGGCATCCCTCCCCGCCAGACACATCCCTCCCCAGAGTGCAGGCAGTGCCAGCAGCCCCCGAGGCCGATCTCATCCCTGGACGGGGGCCACGCCCCCCCAGTCAAGCACCCCCAAGGAGGAGCACCAAAACCTACCCCGACAACACCGGCAATGCGCCCCAGAGACTCCTGAATGCCTCTACTGTGAGAGAGCTGGCAGGGGGAAGCAGCGGGAGCCCCACCACTGCCGAAGAGGGCCCAGGCGAGGAGAGGAGACAACGGGCCCCCAGGCCCAGGGACACACCACCCGCCCAGAAATGAGCAAAAGCCACAAGCCCCGACCCCCCCGACCCACCCCAGATCAGGCAAGGCTGTCACCAACCCCACAGCACCCCCGACGCCTACGCCTCAAATGGCTGTGCCATTGGTGTGTGAATGAGTTAATTTCCACTTCTGGTGAGTTGGCACCTTAATCTCTATCCGTCCAGGAGACAAAAGTTGTTCCCTACACCACCTTGTCGTGGAAATCTTTCCAAATAAAGTAAAATACTGTACTGTTGACAGTACTACAGTCTACTTACTATGGTGTACTACAGTAATCATTGAGTACAGTATTGATATGCAGTACTCCAATACTGTAATGAGAGTAGGTTTCTTACACATTCTGAACGACAGATGCTACTGTGAAAATGCTCAAGATTGGTTGTACTCTCTGCCCAGTCTCCCTAATGAGGGATAAGCCCATTAGAGATTATGGCTGTCCTTGGTCTAGCTCTTCCTCCTACTCATTCTCTCAGTCGTCTCGCTAGGCATCTCTCTCCTACAGTATGTTGGCATCCGTGCTCCAAAACAGAGCTCACCTGTGGCCCTTTCATTGCTAAAGCTCTGATTGCTAACTGAACATTTGTTTGCGTATGTGCGGAGTCAAAGGCAAGAAAGTCAAAGAAATGTTTTCATGTTTTGAATGGTACTGTGTTCCATGTGAGATTTTATTAATAAATGTGCGCATGCATTATAGTAGAATTAGTTCAGACAGTTGGTACGTGATCAGTGTTAGTGTACATACAATTGAGAAAAACTAACAATTTAACTGAAAAATGTAAACTTTATCTTTGGTGTAAAAGTTTTCAGAGTGGGTGGGGACTGGGAGCCTCAGTGTTTTTAAAATCATGCTTGTGTATTATTTATTTGCAATTTGTTTCTTCCAACTGTGCAATTTATATATTCTGCACATCAGAATATCATGTTGGGTGCATAATTTATAGATGCCACTTCAAAAGACATGAATGCCCAGAATCCAGAGAACTAATCTACGTTGTTTAGCAGGGATTGCACACAGTCCTGAATCCTGACGCACGTGTGTGTGTGTGTGTGTGTGTGTGTGTGCGTGTGCATGTGCATGTGTTTTATGTGCTTATATCCAGTGGAGACTAACCTGAATGCACACCAACCAAAGGGGACTCAAGTCTCCGGGGGACAAAAAGGGTCCCCATATGTTTTTTGACGGTGAAGACATGGTTTTGGGGTTCAGGTTACAATTAGTCTAAGGTTAGGGGTAGGGTTGGGGTTAAGTTTAGGCATTTAGGTTTGATGGTTAAGATTAGGGTAAGAGGCTAGGGAATGCATTGGGTTCATGCAACAAGCATGTGTGTGTTTGTGTTTGCGTGTGCGTGATTGTGAAGGCCTTGCTGAACCAGCTCACATTACATCACATCACCATGCCAACCCGTGCCTGTAAGAGTGACCCTTGTGTGTGTTTGTGTGTATATGCATAATGAAGGATGGCCATAGACTGAAACTACCACTCCAAAAAATACAGGCCATCTGCTTTGTGTCCCTGCTGCCAAACACTGAGCTGAACCTCCACACAGTGCCTCTCTTACTGTCTCTGCCAGCTCAGCTCTCTCCATCAGTCTTTTATCCCATGAACATATCCTGTTGTTCCATCCTACCTATCCCTGCATCCTTTTGTTTTGCTTTATCCTGTCCAGTTCTTCAGAAGTAAACACATTTGAATTTGCTCAAGTTGCAGGTGTGATCGATCTTTTTAATTTTGACCAAAATTAAGACTCATTACTTTTGTCTAAATCAGTAGAATATCTTCATTTAGGACATGTTCTTTCATTTGTTTAAACACAATCAATCCATCACTTTTATTAGTGTCAGAATGATCTTTCATGTCCTATATTTGATGAGAAGTGCCCTGTGAGTTACTGTATTTATTTAGAAAAACTTCACCATCATATCTTTAAAACAGAAACATTTATTATCTGTAAGGCACAAGAGTGGAAATCTTCTCATCTTTGTTGTCCGTGAAACAATCTAAAAAAGTCCTGAGCTAAGAGTCAAGATGCTGCTAATGTGTGTTTCCTTTTAGAAAAGTAATTAATTTGAGGGACAGATCTTGTCTTATTTTATACATTTTAGTGAATTTAGTGAAGTACAAAACATGGCAACTTCCAAATCCACATCAGTCACACCTTAATTTCCAATGTTTCCGTTAAGGTTTCTTTTTGTGGATCTGGTGGTCCACAAACCCCATGTACAGGCCCAAACTAATAATTTATGTATTCTACGAGTAAGTACTGTATGTTTATCCAAAGTCCAATATATTTTATTCTCTGTCCATTGTTTTTTACACCGTTGTACTGGGTGACATGTTATAATATGTCTTAATATGCAGCTGAAAATAGTCCCCAACAATGTTCCTCCTGTTTGCATAATGTTTGTCAAAACTACAGCTGTTTTAAAAAAATACTGAGTATTTATAAAAAGAAAAATATGTTTGAGAGTCATTTTTAGAGATTAACACATTTTTGATTTCAGTCTTTTCAGGGATTTGTAGACAATAAGCATAGCATAATGGTAGCCATATCTTTTAAATGTTTAGGAGTGATTTTATTGCATAAAAATAAAAACATTAATGTAGCAACATATTGTACTTCTCTCCTCTCTGTGTTTGAATGTCTCTCTCTTAGTGACAGGGTTTCCATACCACAGTACAGCAGCAGCCATGACTTATAGAGGGGCCCATTTGAGAGGGAGGGGCCGTGCTGTTTACAACACATTCCGCACTGCACCTCCTCCTCCACCTATCCCTGCCTATGGAGCGTGAGTGGCTGCTAACACGCACACACACACACACATACACACACACACACAAAACTGAAACAAACACACATAATCAAATAAACACTGAATGACAGATCTCCAACACTGAAAACACGTTACTGCACAAATCGAGTTCACAGTGTTACTCAAACACAAAAGCTGAAACACACACACACAAACCTATACATACACACATGTAGTAACAGGAGAAGGGTGAGTGAAAAACAAAAAGGCCATCTTGTAATAGTACAGAAAATTGCTCTTTGATTCCAGAATGGCCAAATTAGTCTCTTTTTTTCTAATATGTCGTTTTTTAATTCAGCTGTGAATGGATTGTTATAACCTGTCCTGCACACTCCAGTGTGCCTGCTTCTGAGAAAGCAAAAGACCAAGTGAATGGGCATAAATGGAGAAAGAAAAAGAGAATAACTGTCTGAGAGCGCATTTTAGGGTTGAAAGACAAAAGATTACTGGACGAATGGCACAGTTAACCACATGGAACAACTCAATTAGTCATTTATTGTATAGTGGTAATGCAAATAAATTTTCTTTGATCAAGCTTTTAGCAGTTTAGCAGGAACTGTCGAGTGATTGACAGGTTTGAGCCCAAATGTGTGTGTGCATGCAAATGTTTATTTCACACTTACAGAACTTAAGGCACACACGAAATGGTGCAGAGAAAAGTCCAAGCAAGGCTGAATCCATACAGCGCAAAAACCATACAGTCCATGACGTTAAGGTAAATCCAGAACAGCAAACAGGGAGACTGAACACAAGACGTCAGCAACTAAACACAAGACAAGAAAAAAACAGGAAGCAGCCAAGCAGTCAAGCTCAAAACGCAGAAAAGATCAAGCAGACTTACTAGCTGAATAACACAGGCAAACTCCAAACATTATAGGGAAACAGACCAAAATAAGCATCAACAACACAAACTCAAAACCTACAGACACACTCAGACCAGGATTGTGATATAGTTTTACACAACAAAAAACTAAAACTGCTCATAATGTTTTATTTTGAAAAATAAAGAATAAATACATCATTGAAAGAGAATACATTGTGCTGCTTGGTTTGGATGTGAAGTAGCTTCAAACTGAGTGAAATGTAGCACTGATGTGCGCTAATTATGAGTTTGGTATGACCATTAGTGAAAATGTATGATGCATCCAGGTTACTCAAGGGTTGATGTCTGGATATGATGTAAATTTCATCACTGGCTCTTGTCCACAAACATCCACATAGATCCACATGAATGTGGACAGTCGTACACCACCCAAAATGCATTTATTTGTGTCTTTATTTATGCTCTCTCAAGAAAGCATTGTGAAGGTGGTATATGAGCTACAAGCATGCACAGAGGCTTTATTTGCTGAAATATAGTCTGGAGCAGTATTTTCCGAAACACCAGGCAGCAGTACAGACAAAAGCCACATTTTGTTACAAAAAAGGCTAATGAAGTTATTTGGAAGCCTTGTTTTTCAACCACTGTGCCATGCTCAGAAAATATAGTCAGGTGTGCCATTGGAAATCATCCAATTCTACTTAGTTGATCCAGAAAAATTAATCTTAAATTGTACCAAATATTTATACAGATCTCATTGAGCATGGTAACACTATTGGTGGTAGGCAAAGTCAATGTTTGACTGTTTAAATATGGGTAGACCATTTGACCAAGTGACAACATTACAACAACAAAGATGGATTAATATTCAAAGAGGAAAAATATAGACCCTGGACTTGATCCTGACCCCAGATGAAGAGTTCACTGGTATGGCAGCTGAGAGGATCCAAGAGTGGACACAAGGCGGGTTAGGTTCAAACTTAGATAGATTTATTGACAGTGTGCTGGGGGCAGAGAGCAGGCAGACTGATGAAATCAGAGCTCAAAACCCTCAGGACAGGACTGGCAAGCAGCATCTTCACACTCGGAGCTGAGATCTGAGTAGAAGCAAAAAACACAGGCAGTCAGTACAAGCTCACAAACTGGATCAAAGAAACTCTTACAATCTAGAAACTAGATCTGGGCCTTAGCGCTTGTTACCACTGTGGGTTAACGGACGATCTGACGCTGACTGGAAGTTGAGTTGGGGTTTTATTTCTCTGGTTGCTCTGTGCCCTCTAACCAACTCTTCAAGAGCTAGCTTGACCGCTAGTAGCTCTCTGTTGCCCACATCATAATTTCTCGGCCGGACTTAAGCAAAGAGAGAAAAAGTCACAAGGGTGCATTTTCCAATCTAGATTGGAATGGCCCCCACCCCACTGTCTGATGCATCTACTTCCATAATAAACTGCTTAGCAGGATCTGGATTGGCTAGAACGGGGGCGGATGTGAGTCTTGAGTTTGGAAAAGACTACTTGTGCCTCAGGGGTCCAGGAATAAGTGTTCTTAACCGAGGTAAGCTGTGTGAGTTGAGCTGCTACCTTGCTGTAGTCCCTAATGAAATGCCTGTAGAAATGGGCCCTCAGCGCATCTTCAGGTTTGCCTTCATCTGCCTGCTCTCAATGATGTAGCCCAGGAAACTTACGGATTTGAAGTGGAACTTACATTTTTCAGCTTTAACTAAGAGCCTCTTGCAGAGGCAGAGGATATTTGTTTTTGATGGGTATGTTGTTGAGACATTGCACAAAAAAGAACCCAGCTCCAAAAGGGGAAGAGGATGGATGTATCAGGCTTGCTTTTAGAGAGTCACTGATATAGTTCTCCGTCGCCTCTCTCTCATGGTGGGAAATGCTGTAAAGTCTGGCAGGATGTGGTGCGCCAGGGAGCAGTTTAATTTTGCAGTCGAGGGCCTATGTGGTGGAAGAGACACAGCTAGATCCTCTTTTCAGATCATGATACTCAGATGGGACATTGGACAGATCAGGCGATTCTGGGCTGAGTTGGGTAATGGCTCCCTCTGCAGGAGAATCAGAATCAGAAGGAGATTTATTGCCAATTAGTGTTTTACACATGTGAGGAATTTGCTTTGGTGATAAGGTGCTACACGTAGACAAACATACAGTTGACATAAATAAATGTAGAAATAGGGGATGCTCTCATGATGGTTGCTGGACAAAACTAACTCAGTGGGGACAGTGTTGTGGGTGAAATAGGACCATCCAAGGCCCTGGCTGTACTGGGTTCTGAGAGCAGTTCTGTGGAAAAACCTTCCTGAGCAGTCCAAAAAGTTCCACTAAGATTAAGACAGGCAGGGGTAAGTGTGGGGTGCACAAGGTGGCTGGGAGTCACTCACCAGAATTCCTTAGGCGGAGGCGCTCTGCTGGAGACAGGCGAGCCCGGCCCAACTACATGGGTTCACGTTCTGAACTAGCAGCTGGTGGCCGTGCAGGGACTTAAACCTCGTGGTGAACAGGAGTGAAGGCTAGCGGATGGCGAGAGAGAGAGGTGGTTATAGACTGGGTACTTTGTTCCCTGCGTCGCTCACACAGGCAGTTGTCAAAGCGTATAGCCAATGAAAGCAGAGAATTTAGGTTTGAGGGGTCATCTCTAGAAGCCAACTCTCATAATCCTCTCATTTATGCCCTTCCGGTAGACCTCTCTCAGGGCGGCCAATACAGTCCAGCTGGTGTCAGCGGCCAGTGTTCCGAACTCTACCGAGTAGTCGTCGACACTCCTAGACCCCTGCTGCAGGTCTAGCAGGCGACTAGCAGCATCACCACAGTGATCTGGTTGATCAAAAACCTCCTGTATCATGGCGTCAAACTCCCCCAAAGTCATGGCAGAAAATGGAGAACTCACATTCACAGCCTCAGCCCAGGTCAGCGCTCTCCCTCTTAATAATACTAAAATGTTACGTACCATTGATTGGTCCAATGAAAAGGTTTGCGGGGGCTGGGTGAATACCATGGCGCACTGCGTTAGAAAACTAGGGCACCTGGTGAACTTGTAGGTTTATGTTTGAAATGGGAACCCTCTTGTAGAGAGGTGGAGACAATAGGTGGGACAATCACTTCTGATACTGTACTTACTGTAAATTCTCTGGGTGAAAACCCTGAGTTGGAGTTGTCTGAATTAGCTTAGGTATGGTGATGGCACTGTGGATAAGACATATGCCTCTAGTGTGGGAGACCCTGGTTCAGTTCTCACTACGACATCCACCAATGGTGTTCCACAGCAAGACACTTAACACCTAGTTGCTCCAGAGGCGTGTGACCTCTGACATATATAGCAAAAATTGCTTTGGATAAAAACATCAGCTAAATTACTAATTATTTAGTTAGCTTGTAATAATTGATTAGAGCTATCTCTCAAGACTTAAACCCGCTTACATAAACACCAACTGAATCTCCTACACATTACATTTTAGTTGATGTGAACTACCGACACAATGTCAGGACAGACAGGAAATTCATTTGGTACTTGTATTTCTTTAGTTACAAGATTCTTACCTAAAACATTTCCCTTTCATTTCATTTTACTTCAATGCTGAAAAAAATGCTTAATGTTTGATATCTCTGTCAACAGTGTGGTCTACCAGGATGGCTTTTATGGGGCAGAAATATATGTAAGTCAAAATCTAGTTATTCACTATTTTCAATCAAGAAACTAATGTGGTACTGAGTGTCTTGAGCATTTGATCTAATGCTTTCCCTTACCTGTACCTTTACCTAAAGTTAATTGTTGTATTAGCATCATTTTGGTGACGGTCTTGAGTTCCTAATTTGAGCTGATATTGCATTCCTCTGTCTCTGCTCAGGGAGGGTATGCAGCTTACAGATATGCCCAACCAGCTGGTAATGCTGCAGCTGCATACAGTGACAGGTACGTTGGTTTCCTTTACCCTTCTGAGGATCACTTAAAGGTACTCTGTTTCATTGTCAGTAGTTATGAATGTATTCACATTGAACATTTCTCAAAACACATTGGATACCATACCTGCCTTAAAACCTCACCAGAGATGTGCAAAGGCATTTTTATGGACGGTGGCTCAGTTCCTTCTTAACTCACTAAAAGCAGTGAATCCGACACTCAATGTGATGATGTCTTGTAGATCACTCATGGAACAATTGCACTTTTTTACAATTGCAGGAACAGAAGCGGCTTCATATTATTGTTTTCTTTGTGTGAAACAAAATAAACTACAATATTCTCTTCAAAACTATTTTCCACTCACTGGTGAACAGACATGTATAGAAATATAATAATATTTAAAGAATGTGTAAAAGAGATTGAAATTGAATCAATCCAAAACAAATGTGCTTCACAGAATAACATAAGGAGCTTACATACCTGTGTGAAACACAATAAATACAGATCCAACAGCTCCAGAGCCAGAAACACCTAGAGAAAGTGATAGGAGAGGGACAAATTACAAGACAACGGGAAAGAGAAGAAGTCGAGTTAGTAACATGCACTAATGGGATAAGAATGCATACAGATGGAGAGGGAGAAGAGGAGAGAGGAGGTCAGTGCATCATAGGAAGTCTCCCGGCAGTGTAGGCCTATAGCAGCATAACTAAGGAATGGTTCAGCACTCATCGGTGCAAATATGATCTCTTTTCCTGCTTCTTGTCAGTACACATGCTACAGCACTCTGGATCAGCTGGAGAGTGTAAAGAGACTTATTCGAGCAGCCCAATAATAAAGAATTGCAGTAATCCAGCCTAAAAGTAAACCTATTTAGTTTACCATTGACTGTAAATCAGGTAGTGTAATGTCACCTTAAAACCATTTGGATATTAGCAACAGCTCTGGATGGTCATATGCAGAGTAGAAATCACTAAAGGTCTAGGCTACTTTTTGCTAATCAGGGGCATCCAGCTCACCAACCCTGGAAACTCCTGAAAAACTTTTTTTTTTTAAAAACTAACCATTGTTGATCTAAAATAAAGAAAGAATTAACAACTGTGTGGCTTGTTACTTGTCTAGAATGTTTTCATAAACACATATCGGTGAACTATTTTTGTAATTTAAGATAAAAAGATAAAAGTTTCCAAACAATCCAGTTTTAAATCCAGGAGCAGACAGCCCAGAATGAAAGCATTTGTCTAATAAGGTGCAGCAAGGAAGTGTTTGTGTTTGCCTGTAATCATGGAAGAGAAACTGATAACTGCATCAATGCTGGGAAGCAGCCCAGCCCCTCATGTCCAAAAACGCCCCTGTGGATTGGTGATCCTGCATGACTGGTATCATGAAGCTGGTTATCAACTGGCTCAGCTTACTCCTTTCTAGTCTGAGCAAGGGCATGTTAATGTGATAGATTTCATAGGCGTTCATAGTATGAAACAGTGATACCTGTTGATATTACAGTACAATAAGAAGAAGTAGAAACAATAGGAATGATATCCAAATACTGGTGGAAAGACTCTAAATTAATGAATAAGCCTTTTTAAATATGGTCTGCAATTTAAACATTTTCACCATGTTCCATAGTGGAGAATACAGTAAATGTATTATTTCCTATAGTGACATTTTGGTGCAAACAGGAAAAGTACAGACAATCAAAAAATAAACAAATGCCTTATAAAATGTCTCAACGGAATCTGCTGATCTGATCCTCTGAGGTTGACCCACTCTGGAGCAGGTTAGTCCTGCAGTACAGGTTACGATGGTGATTCCCTCCAGTTAACAGTGAGCCAGCTTTATTATACCAGAAACTTGAGTTAATCCCCAAGAAAACTGTCTAGGCCACTAATCTTGCTTTGTGGTACAGGCACCAGGAGCAGATGTTGTTGTACTATATACAGCCCAAAATCTCCACGGAGGCTCACCTGGACAGATGAGGACCAGAACTAAAGACAATTTACCAAGTCCACAAGATCAATGGTAGCCATCCTATATGGAGGAGAGGCTGCTACTCATACCCCTGAGAACTGCTGTGTGCTTTGTACTGTGGAGATCTGGGCTGCTGGTCCACAGTCTTATGGGTGTTCTCTGCTGCACCTCCAGTATTTGTGTACTTGTGTATGTGACATAAATAAATTGTTAAAGTGTGTGTGTGTGTGTGTGTGTGTGTGTGTGTGTGTGTGTGTGCGCGCACGTGTGTGTGTGTGCGCGCACATGTGTATGTGTGTGCGCGCTCATGTGTATGTGTGTGCGCGCTCATGTGTGTGAGTGTTGCACGCACGTGATACTACTGTTGTCTAGTTGTGTGTGTATTAAGGTGCTTGGGGAGCTAATCTGAGGAAGATTGGGCAAGTCAGGGTTGATAAGAACCAGCCACAGCAGGAGCCTGTAGGCCTACTGATAATGGAAGATTTATCAGAGGCAAGCAGCAAGGGGCATGCTTGGGAGAATTATGAACAGAACAGAGGAGCAGGTGAAGGGGCACGTCTCTCTCCATGAGACTTTTTTCCTTCCTATTTCTTTTTCACGCACCTTTTCTCTTTCTCAGTTATTATTATTTGTTCTATCTTTGGCTGATGGCTAGTATATCCCCCTCCACTCCCATTTCATCTTTTAGACTATTGTCGGATAAGAAAGGTCTTATACAGAGTGGATGGGCTGGGGATTGAGAAATTATATGTGTCTCCTTAGAGTACACACACACACAGACATACACACACCAGACTACAACTAAACTACCGCTATCTACACTTGAGACCAGGTAAAAGGAAGCAAACAGATTACTATTGACCATTAAATTCACCTTGTCTGTCTTCCATCATTTCTCAAACAGCACTAGCTCTGAAACAACCCTTAAGCAACGATCAGACAGAAAGCGTTTTTGCAGTGAGAGGCGTCTTTTTCCTGAGGTTCTGTATAGGCAGTAAGTGTTTTGTGAGCTGCTAAGGCACCCTGGTTGCCTGGTGTTTTAGATGAGCACTCGAGTTGAATAAACTCCAGCTCAGAGCAGAAAAGCACCTGATGTCATTGCTGTTTTTCCCCCATTGTCCAATCAGATGGCTGATTCTGGATGCTGGCGCTATATGAATTTCCCCAGCATGATATGAACAGAAAACTGTAGGTCTGGAATCAAATTAGTGCGGTGCTTTAGATTTTGGGTAAGTTGTTTTCATTCATTTAAAATTCATTTAAGTAATAGTTAACTAGTAGCATACTTTTAGAAACATGATCATTGTAACGTTTAGCTAGTTACAAAGTAAAAAGTCTCACATCAGCTGTCAGAACATCAGTCTGCTGTTAGAGAAAGAGTAGACTGAGCCTAAAGCCAAAATACAACATTGATGTTAAAACAAACAAAATTTTACCCAAGCAAATGCTCAGCCACTCGACAAGACCAACAGACACCCCGTAGTAAGAGGCTATATACAGTGGGTACGGAAAGTATTCAGACCCCTTTAAATTTTTCACTCTTTGTTTCATTGCTGCCATTTTCCAAAAATCAAAAAAGTTCATTTTATTTCTCAGTAATGTACACTCAGCACCCCATCTTGACAGAAAAAAACAGAAATGTAGAAATTTTTGCAAATTTATTAAAAAAGAAAAACTGAAATATCACATGGTCATAAGTATTCAGACCCTTTGCCGTGACACTCATATTTAACTCAGGTGCTGTCTATTTCTTCTGATCATCCTTGAGATGGTTCTACACCTTCATTTGAGTCCAGCTGTGTTTGATTATACTGATTGGACTTGATTAGGAAAGCCACACACCTGTCTATATAAGACCTTACAGCTCACAGTGCATGTCAGAGCAAATGAGAATCATGAGGTCAAAGGAACTGCCTGAAGAGCTCAGAGACAGAATTGTGGCAAGGCACAGATCTGGACAAGGTTACAAAAAAATTTCTGCTGCACTTAAGGTTCCTAAGAGCACAGTGGCCTCCATAATCCTCAAATGGAAGACGTTTGGGACGACCAGAACCCTTCCTAGAGCTGGCCGTCCGGCCAAACTGAGCTATCGGGGGAGAAGAGCCTTGGTGAGAGAGGTAAAGAAGAACCCAAAGGTCACTGTGGCTGAGCTCCAGAGATGCAGTCGGGAGATGGGAGAAAGTTGTAGTAAGTCAACCATCACTGCAGCAATCCACCAGTCGGGGCTTTATGGCAGAGTGGCCCGACGGAAGCCTCTCCTCAGTGCAAGACACATGAAAGCCCGCATGGAGTTTGCTAAAAAAACACCTGAAGGACTCCAAGATGGTGATAAATAAGATCCTCTGGTCTGATGAGACCAAGATAGAACTTTTTGGCCTTAATTCTAAGCGGTATGTGTGGAGAAAACCAGGCACTGCTCATCACCTGTCCAATACAGTCTCAACAGTGAAGCATGGTGGTGGCAGCATCATGCTGTGGGGGTGTTTTTCAGCTGCAGGGACAGGACGACCGGTTGCAATCGAAGGAAAGATGAATGCGGCCAAGTACAGGGATATCCTGGACGAAAACCTTTTCCAGAGTGCTCTGGACCTCAGACTGGGCCGAAGGTTTACCTTCCAACAAGACAATGACCCTAAGCACACCGCTAAAATAACGAAGGAGTGGCTTCACAACAACTCCGTGGCTGTTCTTGAATGGTCCAGCCAGAGCCCTGACTTAAACCCAATTGAGCATCTCTGGAGAGACCTGAAAATGGCTGTCCACCAACGTTTACCATCCAACCTGACAGAACTGGAGAGGATCTGCTAGGAGGAATGGCAGAGGATACCCAAATCCAGATGTGAAAAACTTGTTGCATCTTTCCCAAAACGACTCATGGCTGTATTAGATCAAAAGGGTGCTTCTACTAAATACTGAGCAAAGGGTCTGAATACTTATGACCATGTGATATTTCAGTTTTTCTTTTTTAATAAATTTGCAAAAATTTCTACATTTCTGTTTTTTTCTGTCAAGATGGGGTGCTGAGTGTACATTACTGAGAAATAAAA